ACGTAGTATAAAACTTGTCAAAGCAACCATTAAAGAAACTTTACGCTGCTCATGAACATGGTTCTTAAATATTACCTGCTACCGAATTGCGGCTGAACTGTTGCCCGACGAAATTTATAGGACTACTATATGGGACTATAAAAGACTGAAATATACCAGTTCGAGAAGGAGCGCTTAACCGAGTGCTGCTGCCAGAAGGGAGGTTGATTGAAAGGGTCATCAGAAGACGTGAACGGGTGAGATCAGGCAGAATCAACACCAAATCAATAGTTTTGTGTGTTGATCGTCACGCCGTCATGGGATAGACGATCAGGTTTTCTGCGCGTGGCGCAAGTACTCAGCTCGCCAAGCGCTGGCAATCAGGATGGTGTCTGGATAAACATGGGTAAATATGAACTATGCAAATTTTGGCCGCTGCAGCGTTCAGAGATTCATTCGGCGTTCCTAGTACCAAGTGGCACATGCTCGAACAACGTGATGTCGCAGCTGTGCAAGCTTTAGATCGGCAAACTCAGACCAAGTGCCCTAATTTTCCACATTAGTGGCAGATACTCTGTTTCTGAAGGCATTGCTGATAAATGTTGACCTGCGCATCGGCAACAGGTAAAACACAATTCGAACCGTCTTGGAATGACATCTTTTCGGTTGGCTGCTTGGATTGTGTCTGTATGAGGTTGCAAGGAAAAAGCTGCTAACTGTTTAGGAACATTTTGCAGCTGTAGAACAACATTGAAGGCCTTCTCGCAGTTCATCGTCGTCTCACCTTCCGATAATAAGCTTTCGGGAGCCTGTTCTTTACAGATACCGGATACCAAGCACTGTAAAGCAATCGTCTCTGCGAACTTCGTAACTGGGATTTCACTATACCAACACTCTGACAGGGCTTGCCGAACTAGCGCAATGAAAGCAGTAACACTTTCTTCAGGGTTTTGACGCGTCGAGAAAGAATACCGCGCAGTGTATGTGTTCAGTCGTGAACCCCATAACCAGCTGAGGACTTCTAGCACGCTGTTGACTGTCTCCTTCTCACCAACATATATTTGCAAAAGTCTACGAATAGACATAATGCCATCAGAAACCATGGGATTCAAACGAAGATACATGGAGGGCATCAAACGTCTTTCGCCTTCATCCCCCAGAAATGGTCTCCTTAATTTAATTTTGTAGCTCTTTGAGAGCATCATGTTTGATTGCAACACGGGTAGCAGCTCCGAATAATCCAAAAAAGTGCGCTTTCAGCAGTTCCAGGTAGCTGGTGTTGGTTTCTCAGAAAGTATCTTCCAAAGTAGTGCAGGAAGGTGCAACGTCGCAGTCGTTTAACCTCGTAGCCAAAATGGACAATGGACAATGGACAATGGTTGATTACGGGTAAAAAAGCATCGCTTAACAAGTCCCGTGGGATGGAAATTATTGCGAAAATAAATTGCATAATAAAGTGAAAAGCGTTGTGGTGGACTCACCATAGACTTATGTGAAATAGCGGAGATGTTCGCGTATTAAACATAAAAATCCATAAATCCAATGGTTGAGCGCATGGCAAGAAACCGTTTGATTGCGTTTTGTAGCCCCTGGCTAACAAGTCATAACAGGAAATGTAAGTGAGACAACGCATCGTCAACACGTTGTTTAAATATCGCCAAATTGGGAGCAGAGACGACATAATTAGGGAGGGCATTCCAAGGCTCACACACGCGGAGAGAAAAGAAATTTCTACGGCATTCAAGCCGGCTGTAATGAATTGTCAGTTTCAGAGGGTGACCTCTTAGTTTAGTGTTGTGGTTCAGTTCCAGCAGCGGACAGCAAATGTGGTTTGGGTTCTTCAGAATCTGGTAAACCATTTTGAGATCCCCCCGCAAAAGCCGATATCGACTGCTGTACATTCTTAGAGATTTCAGTCTAAGCTGATAGGGCAGATGAAAGAGGCCCCTGACGTTCTTGGTTGCCCGTCGTTGAGGAATCTCGAGAGCAATGAGATCATGTTTCTGCCACGGCTGCCACGCCTGAATAGCATATTCCACGTGAGGTCGCACGTAGGCGTTAAGCATTTGGGGAAATATTGATGGTTCAAACAGACCGAAGGCTCTGCGAAGAAGGCCGAAGTGTTGATTTCCGGTTCTCCTCGCCTTCTCTGCTTGTTTGGAACACCCGAGATCTTCCTGTACCAATACACCCAGGTCCCGCTCATGAGAAACCTTTGCCAAGGTGTGGTCTCCAATCTTGTAGGCGCTCACCAGCTGGTGACGCAGATGCATCACTTTGCACTTAGCCATGTTCAATTGAAGCTTGTTCCTCTTTGACCATTCGTAAATGCAATCTAGATCATGTTGGAGCAGATCCTGATCTGCCTTTTTACTAATCGCCCGCCATATCTTGACGTCATCGGCGAAAAGCAGGAAGTTTGAGGAGATGACTCTTGCCAGGTCGTTGATAAACACAAGGAATAAACGCGGTCCCAGCACTGAGCCTTGCGGGACACCACATTCCACCTCAATTGGGTTAGAAAATGATCCCCTAACACGTACTTGGAGCTTTCGTTGGTAAAGGAAGTTGCCAATCCAACCAAGTACAGGATTTCCGATTCCGTAACTCTGAAGCCGTTGAAGTAGGATGCGGTGATCAAGGCGGTCGAAAGCTTTGGAAAAGTCCAGATAGATGACGTCGACTCCGACCCCATCATCGGCCACTTCCGTCCAACTACCTCGAGCAATAAGTAGGTTGGTGGTGCATGACCGGTGTTGACGGAAGCCATGTTGTTCCGGTACCAAGATGTTGCATTTTTCCAGATAGTCCATCAAAGCCTCAGCAAAGACTGCTTCCATCACCTTCGCGAGCACAGGGAGGAGAGTCACTGGACGATAGTTTGCAGGATCGGAACGGCTACCGCCTTTAAAAATAGGGGTTATAATGCCACACTTCCACATAATGGGGACTCGTTGTTCATCAAAGCACCTTTGAAAAAAACTGTGACAGTGGTTCAGCTAGCTTATTAGCCACAGCCTTCAGTGCCTTCGGGCGGATGTTGTCTGCTCCCGGAGAACTATGTTCGCGCAGTGAGAGTAACTTCCTCAGCACAATTGATGGGTTGAAAATAACATTTGTAAACAAAGGTGTCGGTAATGAGCTTGATAATATGGGACAGGTAGATGTTGCGAGTTCAAAAATTGGGGCGTATTGCAGCCGCAGTGCATTAGCTGCTTCTTCGGCGCTTTGTACTCTACCGCCTGTCGTGAATAGTGGGGGTATTCCATGCTTCACTTTACGAAGCTTATTGACATGCTTATACAGCAGTTTGTTGTTTGCCATGAACTTTTTAGCTAGACACTGTTGATACGTTATTTTGTCCTCACGGACAAGTGCGGTGCAATGGTTGCGATGGGTCAGGAAATTTCCCCAAGTCTCTGAGTCTGGGTTAATCTTGCAGGCACGCCATGCTGCATCCCTTATCGCCAGGCATTTGCGAGTCCTACTCCTTATAATTGAAGGCATTTTCTCGGGACGAAGGGGTTTGGTCTCTGATGCTTTGTTGACGATGTCGCTGAGTTTATTAACGAACTCTGCCCAAACGTTGTCAAGGGGAATGTGGTTTGAGAATTCCCAAGCAGCTGCGTCGGCGAGTTCTTTCAATACGTGGTAGCGTGTGATTGTATGAGTTAGTTCCGAGTGTTCAGATGGATACTCTGCATAACACACATAGTCAAAAGTTATTACTACGTGGTCACTGAGACCTAATGGACTATCCATCAATAACTAATAAATGTTATGACCATTAGCCGATAAACGGAACAGTAGGTGTACGCGTAGCATGGAACAGCTTTACTAAAAGGATCCTGTGTTACAGTGGCTAGAAAAGCCGGAAGAAAAACCAATGAAATAAGGAAAGTAAGGCAAGGTCATTCTCAATCAATCATGGGAGGGCCTGTGTTTACCAATCGATACTCAACGGCATACGTGACAGAGTGATCCTTCCCATCAGACCTCAAGGACTGGGCCTACAACATTCAGTACTCTAGTTGCCAAGGTATGAACCATAGAAACGGCTACTGCACATTAATTACCAGTGCCATTTACCAAAGTTTTCTGGGAAGTTTTTGTAACGGCATCAAGTAACAGTGGTGCCTACTTGGTAGGAACTGGCAGCAGTCCTCTGGCACCAAGCTGGACTTATCGTTATGCATGAACCACCTACTTAGCTAGGTTACACATTCTGCATAGTTATCTGCGAATTGCTCAGGCGTATAATGTTTACTGACGCTGCCGGGCTTGATCGAGGGATGCCGCAGAGCGATCCATGAAAAACACGGCGGAAAGACACAAAGCAGATGGGAGAGCTACTAAATTCTACTGGTGGACTCAGCGTCCCCGAGGGGAGGAGGCTCAAACCCAACCGTATCCCTGCTTAAGACCATTCCTGTGATCAGAGCTTGCTGTAATCGACCACACTTTAGTACTCTATCCCTGAATTTTGAAACCAAGACTGTGTTAGATGATCTCAATGGTTCTTGTAACTTTATGGCCTGCACACTTATCTGCATCTAGCTTTGGTCCCACAGTATGGCTTCGGTGATAAACATCAGTAACTTTGTGTTTACTCCATGTGTGTACTCTTCACAAAAGGTGTTCTAGGTTTCGTTTCAATTCAGCGTTTAGCTGATGCACGCCTGACTTCCTATTGATTTGTTGTTAGGTCTATTTACACAACCCTGGGGCATTTGAACGCAAATAACACATCGTCTCCTAGTCTTCACATTTTATTCCGTCAAACGCATATTCCGCCAGCTCCTACTTCTGGTAATGAACGGAGGAAAATTTACCACTGCTGAAAAGAATACCACTTTCTGCTACCTAGATTATCAGCTTAGCTTATGTGTGTGCGTGCGTGTAAAATTCACGAAATGCTAAAAGCGATTGTTACAATCTAATGAGCACTCTTACTGAATTTATTGTGCAACTATTCGTAACGACTCAATCGATATCACACAGCTTTTGGCATCTTCACGCAGCTACAGTATGCTGGAACATATTGGGACGAAACCCAGTACGCCCCTATGGAGCCAGTCCGTGACTCGGACCACAACATGGGGTTACCAACAGCGCATGGACTGCATGATACACGGATGCAACTACTCGACGCAGCCCCGGGTGATCAAATTAACTATGGTCCGGGAACATCTTTTCTTGGACTCCCCACCTCTGAGCTGCAAAATGCGCACGGAACAGACAGTGTGGCGCTCATGACTCATCATGAGACTTCAAGCCTCAACATGAGTGGCAGCTATAGCGCAACAGAGCTAACAATGCCTCAGTCGGACGGCACGCAGCTTATCCTCCACGGGACTCCTGAACGAGCTACATCCGATGTACAGTGCATTCCCGCAGCATACTCTTCGGAGTGGTTGGACCAGCCAATGGTGAGGATGTATCAACTTTCGGACGATCCAAGCGCATCAGGACTGCCAATACAAACACTGCAATATTCGCAAGTCTATGTAAGTAACTATGCGAGCAATCTCCTCACAGTATATGGTGTCCTGTTGGTCCAGGTCAACACTGGCTTAAATAGAAGGGCACTGTTTTTAGTATATGGCAGAAGGAGAAATCTGGTATGAACCAATAATATTTCCATATCTTAATATCAAGTTAGAACAGGCATGATGCAAACTAGCCATACATAATTAACTGAGCCTTGTCAAAGTTACCCTCTCAGAGCAAGACTGCCGATACGACCTGTTTCTGGTCAACATTAGATTATGTTCCGCCGACTTAGGTATTTCTAGCACTCATACCTACTAACTATGGCTACCAGGGTGTTAATGCGTTTGACTTCCCCGTATTTTCCTCCCAGCCTCAGCTTCGGCAATCGGACTTCGAAATTCAGGCTATCCAACCTGTCCACCCAGTGCAAATCACCCACTCTTCCGGGCAACAACTTCCGGATTATCCTGTTCTGGAGGGGCCGCCTTCAATGAGAGTTACGTACACAAACATTGAACCTTTCAGAAGCGTAGCTGATACACCAGAAAATTTGTATATTTTTGGAGGGGAATCGATTGGTCCCCATTCCACATTTGGTAGGTCTGTTACTGCGAGCCACCCACTGTCAAGTTTCGATGAGCAAGCACTGACCATATCCAACAGTACTGGCGTCACAACCAGTCTTTCTGTCCCGGAAGACGAAGAAACAGAGGTCCAAACGGCTACCGAAGCGCTGCTTCACGCTGCCAATAACTGCATATCAAATGAATTGCCAATCGGCCCACACTTTGATTTGTCTGTTGGTGAAGATTTGGATCTAGGTGACTCGGCACATTTTGAAACCCAGTTGTGTGCGAAGTACCCAGATGTGTCGACGAACCCAACTTTTGATAGCACCAGTATTGGTGGTCAAGGTATACAACTTAAGAGGGAAACCTGTTGTGGGGTCAACCCCACTTGCGATTCAGGAAGTACAACTGTGAATATACCCAGTTTTTTCAAACCCCAGCTTCGATTTTATGATCTCTAGACCTAAGGGTAGGTGAAGACACATACAACTGAATTTTGCTGTCCGGTAAACACAGTCCAGACCCTTTGCCGATTATCAAATTCTCATTTGTTTCAAAACAATTGCATGTAATTTTTAACAGCGCTTTCACTCTGAATTCATTTCCAGCTGGACCTTGCATGCACACATACCCAGTTTTAGGTATCTTTGATCTATTGGTTACATCGTTTGTTTTATTTATTTTTATACTTGTTACCAGTCTGAAGAAGCAAAGTGATTTTATCTATCTTCATCCTTCTGAGTTTTTCCGTCGGTGTCGACCAAATGGGGAGGATCTGATGCTGCAAAAGTTCGAACTTAGTAAACAGTTTCAGAGGCAGCGGTCGTGTTAGTCTGCTTGACATAATTGTTCGAAATTATTTTCCCACTGCTTACTGATGGGACAGATTAATTAAACGGTTAAGGTTAACTACATCTAGACCGCTACGGATAAGCACCTCCCTTATGCGTTTGACAAGAGGAAGCTCCAGAGAGATCGGGATTTTTTGACTTGAACCATATTTAACCTAGCGGTAGGTACACCGTAAGCAGTCTGAATTGCTCTTCCGTACTTATCAATGTAACCGTTTTTGTTGGTTGTAAAATCAATCTAATTGCAGAAGTAACTGGTCAGCGCCGTCGACTCCATAGGTACTCAAAGCACTTACCCCCAACTTAGCAGTGCCTATTGCGGCTTTTTCTAGCGTCTACATAAATCGCACACACTCCAAGCAAAGAACAAAATTGGAATCAACACTCTGATATACAAAGACGGTAAGCGATCGCGTCCTGCGAGTCATGGATCTATTGCTATTCTCAATATTCCATCAACCGTTATTGGGTCGATAGCTTCACAGGTATCAGTTTGCCTTCCTGAGCTTCTTCAATGCAGTTGGGCTAGACAAAATTTTATTTTAATCAGCTCCTTTTAGTCTGGATAAAAGTCATTCCATTTTATTTGCTTTGTTCAATTCCGTTATTCTGCTGCATATGTTTGTTAATTATACGTGCTTGCTTTTCATCAAATTTTCCTGTTTGTATGATGTCAGCGGTGTGGGCGTGTATAATGTGAAAGTTGACAAGGTGCATAAGTGTAACAAACTTAACCTAAAGTACTGGCAACAGTAAGCTGAACTTTTGCTGGGGGGGGGACGCGGTGCACGGCCATGGTGTCTATGCTAGGCTCAAAGAGTATTTCCATCCCGTGTGGAGCGGACTACGGTCCAAGCACCGCCATTACATATATATATATATATATATATATATATATATATATATATATATATATATATTGAGGCTGATGTTGCATTCATGGTGCTTCTTCACCGCAGTTGGGCTAAACCAACTTACACTTAAACTAGGTATTTTTAAGCTGGATGCATTTCATTCCACCTTATTTGGTTTGATCTGCTTAACTGATAATCTTCTCCTAACTTGCACGCCTAGCTCATGCTAATTGTTGTTAACTTGCGTAACTTAATCACATGGTATTTATTATATAACTTTCGGAAATTCTGCACTTATCGCGGATTCGCTTATAACCAATTTACTCCATATGCTCATTTAGCGAGTATTTATATCGTCATATAGGTTTATTTTATTCGATATCGTTTGTTTGATATCGGCAGTGCGAATGATTGGCTGTTGTTTGACATTCCAGATGTGGCTGCGCTTGATGTGCATGTTGACAGGGTGCCCACCTGTCTATTACCCACTACCTCGTCTATACTGGCTCCAGGAGACTTTTGGTCGGATATCTTAGTGCGTCCCCAACCCTAGCAAAACTTTAGCTGCTTCTGCGTCAGTAGATAGACGTAGATGCTATGTGGTTCCGCGATCAGAATGGTACTTCAGCTTGAGCGCACTGCTGGGATCATGCAGCTGGATTTCCGCAACGCAGCCATTGTCTGGGAGAGAGACTCCAGAGTACGCACCTGGCCGACTTTCGCAAGTCGAAGCATGTCAATCAGCACATAGATTGAGGCCTATGTAAGGCTGTCCATTAGGCTTTTCGAAGGGCGGGTAAACCGGGATAGGAATTAGAACCAGCGGTGGAGATTTTGACAAAAAATGGAGAGTTTACTTTTGACGGAGGCTGGGCAACCACAAAAACAGCACTAAAGGAAGCATGAGAAGAAGGCAAATCCACGGTTTTCCCAGCGGCCATGGTACTATCCTGTCGCTTAGGTCGAGTTGGAGAGTTTACTTAGGGGACTACGCCCCGAGCTTTTGACACAATAGCGTACTCGCAAGACAGCGGAGCGAGGTCAGAAAATCATGCCCACTGGGAGTCGGTGCCCGGTTGCTCGGTTCCTACGTCTTTTGTTTGGTGACCTGCCAAACTGGAGTCCAGTCCACTCAGAAATGCACCTTCTATCCGTGAAATTGACATCCTTTTACTTTGTGACGAGTCACATCCACTATGTCACAATGTTGTTCAACAGGTATTTGTGGCTTTTTATATGGAGAATACTAGTCAGGCAAAAATTCGCCACGTCTTGAAACACGGACGCCGAACATTTCGCTAGGACGGGGTAAACCGAAACCATCTAACTGGCACCACGAGGAGGTAGTTCGATAAGCCAGCCTACTTTTGCTTCGTAACACATGGATCGAGGTGACCGACGAAGAAGTCTCTCTAAATGTGATATAGTTAAAATTTTCCAAAAACAGTTGACGGTCAACCGCTCTGTTCTTCTCAAAAGGCTTATTGTCTCTGGGTTAAGCGGCTCCCTGCTCACCTCGCTGGAACGCTACATACGGAAACAGTCACAGTAAGTATTGCCGCGACACACTCCGACAATCTGTGCGTCTCAAATAGTGTACGCTAGAGATCTGTCCTCGGCCCGTTGTTGTTTTAATTCAATATCAATGATCGCCCAACTAACATCCGGTCATGAACGTAAATCTTTGCGGAGGAGAACATGATCTGGAGAGCTACTCACCCAACAGCTGCTCGTGCATATCTTCAAAACGTTCTGGAATGGAGTCCTGATTGGGCAGGTATAAATAGCTCCCCTCAACCCTGTAAAGTGCTGACTGATAACGCTGTGCAACAAATTAATTTACGCATGCCAGCTAGAACAGAACATTCTACACCCTGTGACCAGTAAAATGGACTTAGGTATCCTCATTCGGCAAGGTCTAGGAAATCCGCTCCGCTGTTCAAGAGCAGCAAATGTGACAACTATGAATTTGCGGCTTCCGCAGCGGGTTGTTGCTACTTCTGAGCGACAGCTAGTAACCCTATTGATCAACTCATGTATTCGTCCACACTTTGCATTTGTGTTCCAGGCCTGGTATCCATGAATAAAACGAGACATTCATCTCTTGGAGTAGCTCCAAAGTAGAGCCAACAAGGCAACACGGGGATTATCTGGTATTAGTTATGAATTACGCTTTGGTTCAACCGATCTGTTCTCCTAGGAATACTGAGTACCGCGAAGGGATCACATTCTTCTATACAGAATACTGACAGAGAGTGACCATCATTGCTGATCCTAGTTCCCTTGAACTTATGCCGAGGCTACGACCTGAAACCAGTAGTCCAAAAATCTCTCCTGAACTGTAGAAGCCCTCTTACTCCCTTAGTATCTGCTCACCGGTAGGACACATGTGGTTAATACACAAAATATCGTGAACTGACAAAGACTATTAAACGTTTATCTAGGTGCAAAATGTTACCCAACAGTATGACAAGTTGCTGTGTCTGGATTAGTAGTGGCTCACACTTATGCTGTGACATTATGAGTTTTTAGCATTTCCCACCTTGTGGGTCTTGTAAAGCCATTGCTTTGGGTCCCACCATACACTAATAAACTATTACACTATCGATGCTTTACTTCAAGCCTCTTGACCTTTGCAAGGAGAATAAGATTAGACTTTGGTGTGGGTTTGTGTGCCTCTGCAAACTTATGAGCAACGATGGGCGGCACTTTCAAAATGCCTCTGGTGTCACCCTTAGTTCTTCCCAAAAGCTTATTGGCTGGAGCTAATCGACAGGTCCCAGCATGGTTTCTTGGACAAACGTTAGTACATAACCTGCCTATTACATTGGCTAAACCGTGTTTCGGATTCTGTTGACTCAGGATAGGCCAATGGTTGAGGTTAAGGTCAATTTCGTCTCACCATCCTCTTCAGTGGAATCTGAAGGAAGTCAGTGAAGATGTTCCTTCAAACGCAGCCTCGTAACATAAGTAAATGGTTATTAGAAAATACTGATTGGAATATAACGTGGGCAGTAAAAGTTGGCCTTGTCAGAATTATCTTTGTCAGTCCAAAGCCAATCAACAGTTACACAAAACGGGGTAATTAGTCAAAACTTAGTGCCAGTGGACGGCAGTCGCAGTTCCATAATATTCGATGATTGAAGAGCACGCATAACTAGTCCCAAACTATTACAGTTAGCGCATGGTCGAACATAATCGGGTCCGAACATTCCCTTGAATGTACACTTTCGAGCTAGAGTTGGTCATTTCCGAAATATCTACCAAACTACTAAGCTATACCCTGCCTTTGGGTGTCACCAAACCCAGCCCAGCCCCCAGTATGATCGACGGGAGCACTTTCGGCCACAGTAATGTTTCCAAGAATATCTCCATCCGTACCTTATCAGCACCACCCCAGGATTCATCAGTTCCCGTTAATTGCTATGAGTTCATTGTTAATATCGCCAACCGCCATAACAAATGAGCAAGATTATCTATCAAACCAACGGTGTCATACAGTCACGTAACACAATCGATGCATTATCAAATTCACAAGCTGGATCGGTTTAGTTCTCTAGAACGTTGTAACAACCTCAAGGTATTTTATGCACCCGTTCGGGTTTTCGACTCGCTGGAACGCCAACATTGGTTTCTTTATTTTCGACTCTTACTTGCAGCATAAAACTGCGAAAATTCCTATACGCTGAAAGTATTACGACTGTGAGTCATTTAAATTGGATAAAGGGAAGTTCGGTTCAAGAAGCATGTCGATCAACTCAACCGAGATTGTTTCATGATATATAAATGCGTTTAGCCTACTTGAAGGCAACCGGTTTATAGACAACTATACATATTCCGAGTTAGTTTGTCGCTTGATGCTTCGAGATTCGTTGTATCTACACTGATTGAGTTCACCAAAACTAGTACACTCGAAACTACACTAGCATCCAAGTACGCTTCTGTATTACTCAGATATCTGCTCAGAGATTTAAGGTTATCTGCCATTTATATGTGTCAATACATATATTCCTTTTCACCTTCATCT